TAGACAAAAGAGTTACCATGACAAGCGAAGGAAGGACCTTGAATTTCAGGAAGGAGATCATATCTTTTTTAGAGTCAACCCAGTGACCGGTGTTGGGCGAGCGTTAAAATCGAAGAAGCTTACTACCTAATCTTTAGAATTTGCATGATGTGTTCCATGTGTCGTAACTTTAGAAGTATATTGCAGACCCATCTCATATAATTTCGATGGATGACATACAAGTAAGGGATAATCTTACGGTAGAGACTTTACCAGTGAGGATCGAAGACCGTGAAATGAAGAAGCTGAGAGGCAAGGAAATCCCTCTAGTAAAAGTAGTTTAGGGAGGAGCAGGTGGAGAAAGTATGACGTGGGAGTTAGAGAGAAAGATGCGGGAGTTTTATCCAGAATTGTTCACATAAGGTAGTTTTCGAGGATGAAAATATTCTAAGTGTGGGAGAGTTGTAACGCCCCATTTAAATACTTAGTCATTGTTTGTTGATTTTGAATTTGATTTGGCATTTTATGGTAAATCATAGTTTTGAGGGATAATACTATTATTATTAATATTATAGTTTCGTCGGGTGAAGGAAGTTTTGCCGGGCGACACATGGCTTCGCTGGGCAATGGATGGCAGTAGTTGAAAGTTGTTTTGGACTTTCTTGAATCGATCATAACTTTAGTTTTAGGAATCTGATTGATTTGTTGTTCGAAGCAGTAGGTAGCTAACACTATGAACTATGGTTTTAAGGATAAGAATGAGTGATAAGGATTATAATTCTAGTACCTAAATTAGGATAGAAATAGTTTCCCCTTGTTACACTGAAATGGTGAGTTGTTTATTTCGATGTTGCTTTGCTTACGATGTTGTTATAAGGTGATGTTGATGATTATGATGACTATGGTGATAATGATGTTGATGTCCTAAATTAGCACTATGTTGAAGGCTTATGCCTTGTGGTTATATAGTTATGTTGTTGCATATGATGTCGCATGTTGCATAGTGATGAGGGCTTATGCCCTGTTCTTGGCTTGTCATGGCGTTGTGATGAGGGCTTATGTCCTGTTATTTCTCAAATTGGCATACGAGATGAGGGCTTATGCCATGATGGTACCACATGCATTGAGTTGATGTAGGTCTCATTGCATTGCATTGATTCGAGTTGATGTTGCATTACGTGAACAATGTGTAATGTCGCGAAGTACTGTGTGATGTATGGATTGTGTGATTACTACTCCTTAGCATGTGATATTCATCGTATATTTATTGAATGAAATTCTCACCCCTTTTATGTTGTTGAGTCTGTGCTCCCCTGGGAGTACAGATAATCAGGTACTCGAGTAGTGCTTGGAGTGAGTGTTACATGATCGAGTTCTAGGATTCGCTCTGATACGTAACACGGAAATTGGGAATCTTTGTTATGTTTTGCTTTATTTCATTTGTTATGTATCTTTCATTTGACTTATGTTAGACCACACATTTGTGGATTTTTATTTGTTATTGAAGTTGTAATGACATAGAATTGAACTAATTTTATTATTCTGCTGCCGAATTGATTATGTTCGGATAAAAAAAGTAATAAAGTGACTTTAAACTTTATGAATATTTGCAGTATGTGACATCTTGCTTATGTACTCTGATATATGTTAATGTAATTGATATTGTGAGAAAGTGGGGTGTTATAATTCGGGTGATCTTTTGCTTCAAAACCGCCCAAACTGCACCGCGAACACCCCTAATTTTTTGTTGATATTTTTATTTTCAACCCATTTATCCTCAAACTCATTAACGAATGATTTGTTGAACAGAGATTCAATAATCAATCTTTGTAGACACGATACAATATAACTTATATCACCCAGTAAAAGTAACACTTTACTTTTTGCTTGCCGCCCTACCGCTGCAACAACATCTTATAAAGGAGATAAAAATCAATATCCACCTAAATAATTGAGTTTCAAAAATACCTTCCAGCTTAGCAAATACAGCACGGCACAGAGAACGTCCTTCAAGGAAGAATCAGAAATAATATCGAAAATAAAGAATGGTAGCGACAAACCAGAATCGATAACAACGTGATAGAGAAATAACTCATAACTAAACAAAATATAAGCATTAGGGATTAGAGAATCTGAATGGGTACAAATTAATTTGAGTGTATCATTTGAATAGAGAGGAAGAGAAAAGATTGTATTTGTTCTTTGAGTATATCAGCAAGGGTAACTTCTGAAATTTCAGAAACAACTTCACCAGATGTCGAGTCCGGATCTAGAACTCCTTCGATCTCGGCTCATACCTCTTGAAAGAACAAGAAAATGTTCTAAATTTTGATATATGTTTAAAAAGTTTTAAAATAAATTTATCTTCTAATTTTGAATGAGAACTATTATAAAATATTTAATAAGAAAAATAATTATAATTATTATTGTTATTATTATTATTACTATTATTATTATTATTTATGATTGGAATTGATCAAACAACATTTTTTGACTTGACTTAGTCAAACCCTTTAAGTCTTTTATCTCTCTCTTATATATAACAAACCCCATATCTTTATAAGAAAGAGAAGAAAGAAAGAATATAATGTGAAAAAACTTTAGTTTTATTTTATCTCTTTCATTTTATTTTTCCTGATTACATCTTTCATACATCGAACATCTAAAATTTCTCGTTGTTCTAATGCCTTAGAGTCTTATTGAGAATCTGAGAAGAAGCTGTTGAATTCTGAAAGATTTGTGCTTATGAGGCGGATAAATCCTTGCAGGTTCAATGATTGAAATTACAAATAGAAGTGATTGACTTGTACTGGTGATTCAATTTCTACAACACAAAAGAGTCGGATATGAAGAGGAAGAAGGAAGAAGAAGAGGAAGAAGGGAGAAGTTTGTGAGAGATAGAAAGAGAGATTGGAAGAGAGAGAGAGAGAGAGAGAGAGAGAGAGAGAGAGAGAGAGAGAGAGAGAGAGAGAGAGAGAGAGAGAGAGAGAGAGAGGAAAACGAATTGGGTGACTTTCTAGCGGTAAAGTCACCGTAACTTTAGTTATAATTTTGTTGTTATGGCAGGAAATTCGAAGAATAAATAATATATAAATATATGAAGTTGTAAGATAAGTGAGAAAATGAACTAAAGTTATGGTGACTCTGGAGGAGCCAAAGTCACTCAAATCTTATACGAAATGGAGAATGAAGAAATAGAGGTTGAAGGTGTTTGTTTAACAATGAAGTGACGTTTCCTTTCACATAACAGCTTGTAGTACTTAGCATTGAGAAGGTGAAAAAAAATTCATTTGGTTCTATATGAAATAGAATGCGCCAATTCAAGGGCAATTGGTTAACGAAAAACAACAAATGAAATAAAGTAGTAGTTATAATTGGACCAAGTCAAAATTTTGTTGCAAAAAGTAAATTTTGGACACAAATTAATCCCAAAAATATTATGTGTTGGATTTTAAACAAAGGGAAAAATTGAATTTTTCAAAGACATTTGTGTTTTTATATTATAAATAGAGCATGTCCCTAAAAAGATTTCAGAAGATCGACATGACTTATCACAAACCAGACCATGTCCAACGAGATTCAATTTTTTCTCTCATTCCATTGTGTTGTTCTATAAGAAGTAAATTTAGACAAAATTTAAAACTCTTATAAATGATCATCAAATTTTAAACGTAAATATTTACCACCTTAGTTAGTCAAATCGACAGGTTTAAATACTCTTGTGGAATTAGTTTTGTATTTCATGATTTGTGTTGTCTTAACTTCTTGTTGTCTCCATTCAACATTTTGGTTTTCCATCTTATTGCAATATTTATTTAATTTAGATTAATAAATTAATTTCAATCAAATGCAGATTAATTCAATGACTTCATTGTGTCAAAATTAGAATGGATTGATATTTCAAACACGGATATTTGGTTTAGAATAGCATTAATTTCACATAGAAAAACCATGGTGTGTGCATTGAATTAGGAAACCAAGATGCGTACAATATCAATAAATGTGGAATGTGAGTGGAGAAATTGTAAAAAAAAACATAAACACTGGAGATGCAGGGGATCGAACCCTGTACCTCTCGCATGCAAAGCGAGCGCTCTACCATTTGAGCTACATCCCCATTTGTTTATTTGTTTCAACTTGTTTTATATTGACGTGACTAACAAGTCTGTAACGTAACAAGATAATAATGATAATATTTGTGTAACGATTTTAATTTATTTTTTTAAGTTATTATCCCCGTCATTTTAAGTCCTTTTTTTTGTAATGTCAGCAATATACTATGATTTTTTTTATTAATAAAAAAGCAATGGAGCTTACCAAAATTTAAACATTTGTCCAAAAATTTTGAGCTGGTCCAAAGATATCCCAAGTGGTTGATGTCACGTCATGTAATAAGAATGACAAGTCACAATATTTTTACATGAACAAAACTCCTATATGATACGAAACAAAAGGAATCACTGTGATACCTTTTCTTTCCTTGAACGTACTAATCTTCCTCTCCGAGTTATTCCAACTGACATAAGATAACACTACACTTTTCCAATGTTCAAACGCCAAATTCAACTTTCGATTGTTTAAACTTCTGAACTATATCATGTCTACACGCCAAAAGTTAGGCCTCTAGCTGTGCCCAGCTGCATTACCATGTTTCCATAATTTTGTTCTATTTTATTAATTCGACTCAAACTCGGCATTCAAAAATTGGACACTAGTCACCTACATTAGCTTATCGGCAACTTAAAACTGAAACGCTTTGCATACTAAGATCATGTAAAATTCTTCATCAATATGTCTGAAACTAGCTTCTGTTGTATCTACACGAAATAACAACTTATGCGATAGTTTGAAAAAACATGAATAATGGAATGCAATTTGATCATTCTAGTCACAGAAATGTTGAAATTTACAACTATTGTGCTGGTTAAATTCTATCAGCATCATCTCCAATTTCCCCTCCAAAGAATAACTGTACAATTAAATAATTTTAACGTGTAAAAATAGGAGACAAATAACCACTGCTAAAGCCCTAAAACTTTTCCTCCCTGACTATCATCACCCTTAGGGAGTGTTGATCTCTGAGACCTTGTATAACTTTCTCGGATATTAAGCATATCAATGTAATTCCGAAGCCTGTATCGGTCTGATTTTGTCAATGAAAATGGAGGGTTGAGAATCAGGGACGGTCCTTCCACAAGAAGGAAAACCAGTAGACGAACGGCTTTTGAATACAATGTAGATGCACTATCTGTACTACCCAAGAGCTCTTCTACCTGCAAACAACATATAAGTAACACATACTCAGTTTTACCATTGTAGCGTTTGTTCATTCACAAAATATCTAAGATATCCTAAATTTCGTATAAAACTGATGTGGCAAAACTCATGTAAGATATCAACGAGAAATTCGAGTATTTATGATGATATAAACAACCAACAACTTTTCACACTAGGAGGGATTGAGGATTATTGGTGGCTGATCAAGATAAATTTAGTATATTAAAGAAAATATATTATCTAGCATTGCCAATTACTTTCCTGAACCTAAATAACATTTCAAAGATGCATTTTTAAGACCCAGTCCAGAATGGAAGAAATGAGAAGCAGAAGGAAATACTCACACCACCATGCTTCCCAAAACCAAGGGCGGCTTGAAATATTGTTTCCATTGCATCTGGCATCTCTGTATTTCCTGCAAACGGGAGAGAACTAAAATAGTTATCTCGCTGAAGATAAGTCCACGAGCATTGGTGCAAAAGACAGTTAATTTTAAAAAAAAGGAAGAGAAGTCAACTAGGCATTCAGCTCATGAAAAATATAAAAGTTATACCAGGCTTAATGGTTTTGGCAAGTTCTTGGGCATGCTCAAACTCCCTCAAAAATCCACTTTCAATTTCAGATGATAAATCTTTTGGCCCTTGGGTGTTTTCATCTTCTGAATCGGGACTACCTAGCTTCTTGCTGGTGCTCCTCCTATATCTTGAAGCTTCTTGACTTGGACTTCCTTCCATTGCTGAGGCAGCCTGTGTATGGCACATGTGCAGTGCTTTCTTCCAAATGGCGAGAATCACAAGCTCAATAGAAAATGCTTCTAACTGCTTTCTAGCCACAGTCTTATAAGTTTGTTTTGAAGGGGAGGATAGAAGTGCAGTAATAAGAAATATTAGTATCATGAATTTTATGACAAAAATAACAAATTCAATTCTATTCGAGCAAACTACTTCATGCAATGCCAAAGACAGCAGTATGAGAGACATAGAGGAAAATGTAAACAGTGCATAATGCATACTGAATACTGATTACTGAAGGAACTATCCAACACCTACACAGTTTATAGCAACAATAACAAGTTTCTTGAGCAGATGGGAAGGGGGAAAGCACCAAATGGTTGTATTGGTTATTATCTAGAATGCTTGCATCTGTTATATGAAATATATTGTATCACTCAATGTTTGACCACAAAAATGTTCTGATTAGTTTAATAAGTTTAAAGATCATGTAACCAGAGAGCTTCTAAATGCTCTTGCAGAGAGAGAGAGTGAAATTTTGACAAATAAAATTAGTCATTGTATTGTATAAGATAAATACACCAAGAATTTTTTAAGCAACATTTACCTTTTCATCAACTAATTCTCTGAGGGCAGATGCATAATCTTGCAATGATTTCACCCTTGTCATACAGTTAGTTGATGGTTGTTCATCAGCTGTATCCATTGATCCATGTGATGTCCCAGGAGCAGAGTCCTGACTACCTGAACTTCCAATTTGGCACATGCTATTGGTAGATGCACCAACGATTGGCATTGGACCACTTAATCTAGTGATTGTATTAGAAGACTCTTGGGGGAAACTACCTGTCCTAAATAAGGAATGGCTGGGCTTTGAAGCATTCACTGAAGAAGATGAAACATCGATAGGGGGCCCAGACACAAGAACATACTCTTGATCAATATTCTCAAGTGAATCTGTAACTGCCAATTTCATTGAACAAATAGAAGCATTAATATGGATGATTTGAAAGATGCGTCTTAAATCTAACCGTAAAAACAGAAATGGAAAAAATAAACTTCAGTTCGGTATTGATACCTTTTGGATAAGGGTTTGCAAATATCTGTTCTGGTGATCCTAGAGGATTAGTGAGATTTCGTCCTGAAATTTTATGGTTGTCCAATCTTTTAGAAGCGATTTCAGGTCTCTGTGTTACACTATTATATCTGGAAGCATAAGTTACATTATTAGAAATGGAAGTTGACTCTAGTTTGGCATTTAGATCAAATCCAAAGGTAGACTTCATGGAGGACTTCTTCTTTGAATGCAACGTACTCCCTTCAGGTCTACTAGATTCATCATCTAGAATGAAAGGTAAGCAATCCTCTTGATAATTTTCCTCAGTTCTTCTCAAAGGATCGGTCACTGTTGAAGAGAACCCACTTACCAACCTTGAAGAGCTTTTACTCCTGCAAACCAAAAGAAATTTATGTCTTGAAACTAAAAAACCATGATACCATAAATTCTAAAAGCCTTCCCTTTTACCTTAATGATTCATCCTGTTCTCTTTGCTTCGGTTTAAGGAATGGGTGGTTAAAGAATTCTTCAAAAGTTAGACGTTCCACTAAAAATTAAAAAATAAACCAAGTATTAGAATGAGGTTTTTATTTAAAGTAGGTTGTGGAGCACGGATTCGAAAACTTCCCTCAATTAATACAAGAAACAGAGAATTATTACAAGAATATTTCATAAACAACATCCCACAATCCCCAATTAGTTGTCTATGATCAATCCTCAAATTCATCACCCTTCCTCAAATCATAAAACTCTCCTTAACAGTTGCAGATAGAATACAATAAAATATCTTCAAACATAATTGGAAATATAATTGAGTATCTTTGTTTACTTAATAGGAACTGTTTATGATCTTATAGTAGAGTGTTTGGATGAAAGATTTTAATGAGGGGATGTAATTTTTTTTAGGGAATTTAAAATGATTTGGCCAAAATCCATTGTTTAGATAAAAATATTGAGAATTGTTAAAATTATGGAAATCTATGAAGTATTTTGTCTAAGTTAAATTTAAGGAATTTCAAAGGACAATGTAAGGAATTTGAAATTCCTCTCCCACTCTATTTAATTCAAATGTCAAATTGGTTATGATTAATCTTTCAAATTATGCAATTTGGTCCTCAAATATTTTGAAATTTTCAAATACTCCTTTAAATTTTCAAAATTTGCAAATTAATCCCTATTTTAAAATTTTAATTTTGGACTAAACTTTTAATATTCATAAAAACTACCCAACAAAAATTTAACAATGAACAATTTTAATACTCAATCAAAAAAAAAAGAATTTAAAAATGAAGGGAATTCAATTGAAACATTTGAATTTCCTAGAATTCTAAATTCCTTAAAAATTTCTAATTACCTCATCCGAAACGCATCACTTGAGTATCATAAATTATCTTGTTTTTCTATTATTTCTTACTGTTTATTCCTGATTGGAGAATACTTAGATACAATTCCATAGGTGTGGTTCATACTTTTTTCCAATAAAAATATGACAAATATACCTAAATATCTTTTATGGAGTAAAAATAGGAAGAAATAGCATGTGTAAGAGGAAATTATACACTTGTCATATTTTCATTGGAAAAAAAGCATAAACCAATATATATATCCCAATATTTAGCATTGAGTCTATGTATCCCAATATATATAGAGACTAGAGTTTTGTCTTTTGTATCAAGTTAGTATCAAGCTATTATCAATGTACTATCAACTATCAATAATACTCAAGCTACTATTTCTCTCATCCTTTTATCTAAAACTCTCGATTTCAACAGTTGTCTTGCCCATGCTCTTAAAGTTTGTTAATAACTTACTTTTGCAACAAGACCCTTGCTCGAAAAGCCAAAACACGCATTCTACAGTCTTAAGTGATCTGTTGGATTTCCATTAGCAAAATGAGAAAACATCAAAATGTCTCTATTCTTGTTTGCAATGGTTAGCAGGAGGATGACTCAAGTTATCTAAAAGCCTAACATCAAGGAAAAATAGGTGGCCCAATTTTTTCGTATATTGCCAAACTTATGGTTACTACCAGAGCAAATCTAACTTCACACGGGCAACAAAGCAGGCACCGATCATCCCCTCAAAGAAAACACGAATTAACTCAAGAAATTATATACAATAGTGGACAGTGACTAAATAATTGCCGAGGCTATTCTTAAATATCTTTAACAGGCCTGCAGATTTCACACTTCATTCATGTCTCAAACATCAATCTATTAGAAAATCAAAATATACCTGGATTACGGCGTAGTAATTTCTGGCACAAATCTCTGCACTCGGAACACAAACCTTGACTATCAGATGGAAATTGCAATTCTGTCGATTTCATGATATTCTGTAGTAACTGCAGAGTTCGTGATTACAACAATAAGCTATCTAGAAATGTCAAAAGAGTCCTGCCCGATTGGAAAACTATGGTACAGATAACAGCGTCTAAATCAGTAAAGAATGCTTTGTTTTTTGCACACAAAAAGAAGAAGAAAAAAACTCGATTGCTTCAAATACCTGGATTTGATTGTTTCCAGTAAATGGTGTTTTCCCTGTAACAAACTGATATAAGATTGCTCCAACACTCCAGAGATCTGCCTGCGTATTTAATTCAGGATTAATACGATGGAAACCAACAATGAATGCTCTTTGGTCTTTTGATGTATTAAATAGATTAGTGAAAGGTTCACTGCAATAGAACTGCGCCCACACATGCAGGATTACTCCTCTAAACAGATTAAGTTACACTGCAACTGAATCTGCTGTGATGCAGTTAGGCAGTTCAGGTTGTAACTAACTGACTGACACGTGTCAGTCAGTAAACCAACAACGAATGCTTGTTGTTCTGATGTTTTAAAGGTTAGATTAATGAAAGGTTCACAGCAATAGACAGGCACCCACACACACAGGACTACTCCTCCAAACAGATTCTGTTACACGCTGTAACTAACTGACTGACAGTGTCAATCAGTAAACTGGCTACAGTCAGTATCCTTCTATTTCCTATATTCTCCATAAATAGGATCTACACCTATTGTAATAACTAACTGAAATCATTCAATCAAAATAGAAACTGAGATTCAGCATTTTCAGTTCGTAGTTTTCTATCTTATAGCATTTATGAATTACATCAATATACATCTCTAAAAATTCTAATATGATGAGTGGTGACATTAAAAAGTAAGAATCACCTTGGCATCATACTTCTGCAGTTGCATGATTTCGGGAGCCATGTAGAGTGGTGAACCACATAATGTTTCTGCAAGGCCCCTCGGTTGCAGAGATCTGCCCAAAAAGAAATTGATGCTTTAGTAACTAAATTATAGAAAGGAGTAGAAAGCCTTTTCCAAACACAATTCCCATGGTTTTTAAAGTAAAAAACAAACAAACAAGTAAAACAGAAACAAACAATTCAAAGATTTAGCAACTTGAGGGAACTTCAAAATAAGTCGATTTAAAATATGCTTTCACGAAACGTCTTATATAAAATATTGAGCCACAAAAATATAAAGTATTTGAAACTATTGGCTATTTGAGAGATTTACATAATTTTTGGGGTCTTAAAGGTGAACTATATAGAAATAATTAGGCTACCTTGCAAATCCGAAGTCAGCGATCTTCAAAACTGACTTCTCATCATTTCTGGAGAGAAGAAGATTCTGTTTCAAGGATGATAGGCATATTACCAATATTTAGATACAACAAAAACGCTACTTTCATATAAAAACCATATTTTAAAATAAAGGGGAATTGGGTAGGAAGGATTATGAACTAAAAAAACTAAAACAATCAACACACATCTGTGCTTTTAAGTATTAGGATACCTGTGGTTTCAGATCTCGGTGAATAAGGTTATTGTCCCTAAGAACTTGAAGGCCAGCAGCTGTAACACAGCATTCTCCTTTATTAGCAGAAGAACATAAAAAGAAAACACAAGTATAAACAGATGAAACATACCCAGCTGAAGCATAAAATGCTTTGCAGTTGCCTCTGGTACCCTTCCATGGCGTTGAATGTACATAGAAAGATCTCCCCCTTTACAATACTCTAACACAAGATGTATCTTCCCAGGAGCCTATATAAAATTAATGGCATTACTAAGAAGAGACTTGTTTGATACACCAATCAAAGAAATTTTCATTCAGCTTCGCACTTAACTTCACACATATAACAATTTCTTACAGACCAATTTATTCACAAGAGCTAAAATTCTGAGTCAAAACCCCTACCATTTTGGTTTAGAAAAAAAGAACAAATCCAAATACTAAGCATAAAAATCATAGTATACAGCCATATATAATTTGTCATTAGTGCAAAATAAATCCAACCCATAGCCAATTTCACGCTACTCAACTTAGAGTTAAAAGTAGCATCCTAACCATCCATGGCCCAAATGCGATGTCTAGAACTAAATGTGAGTTCATTGTCAAATATTCAAAACCGCTCCTTCACTTCTAGTACAGATCTCTTTATTCCCAAAATTAAACGAATCTTAAGCCTCGGAATTTTATCAATCATGAAGTTCCCCAATTCAACTATGCAGCAAAACATTGCATCAGAGACAATAATAGATTCATAGAACTGATTCCTTTTTTAAATTTTCACGGAGAAGTGGTGTTGCACCTCAAAGCCAAAAGATTTTCCAAAATATATAATATAGTACTAAAAGCACAGACACTGGAAACAAGACGCTGACATTGACATGTCGACACTCATAATAATTTGAAAAAATGAATAAATTTAAACGTAATCACAAGTGTTGGTGTCGACTTCAGACACCAACACTGACACGGACACACCTTTTTTTTAGAGGTGTCGGTGATACAAAGACTAACATATAAAACTCCTTATTTAGTAGACCCCATATCAGGCAAAAATCTACATCAAATCCTCCACTACAGCATAAATCACACTTTACATTATACCCCATTCAAGAAATCAAACTTTATATCATAGAACCCCATTTCAAGATCCTAGTTTCCCCGCTACAGAAAATCAAATACATCAATTTTCAAAACTACCAAACTCATCACACTGTTTAAAGTATAAAGCTCCTAAAACAGCACCATTCACTAAAAAAAAAAAAAAACATTAACTAAGATCAAACCCTACTTACAAACCCTAAAACTAAAAACATTTAAATTAAAACAAACAATAAACTAACAAGTATATAATTAAAAAAAATTAAAAAAACCCATCTTTCTACTAATTTTTCCTTAAATACTACAACTTTATTAATAAACTTACCAGTTACACATTATAAATTATAAATTAATCAACATCAACATTAGATTACACAAGAAACAAACAAATAAGTAAAGTTAAAACCAAAAAAATAAAAATAAAAAGTATAATCAAACCTGAATGATATCGTGCAAGGAAATAATATTAGGATGATCAATCCTTTTCAAGATGTAAATCTCCGACATGAGACTCTCCTGCAACTTCTTGTTAAGCCTCAACGTAGCGATCTCTTTTATAGCAACTTCAGTTCCATGAATTTTGTGTCTCGCATGCCACACAACCGAAAACGAACCGGCTCCAATCTGCTTCCCGACGAAGTAGTCTCCGATCGTTCTACTGCTACTGCTCCGTCCCGGCGCTTGAGCCATCGCTGGAAATTGAAAACCCTAATTCAGCTCCGAATGAATAGCACTCGAATTCGAAAATTCGGAAATAGAGGATCGTAGTTTAAACGGTGGGAACGAGAACGATTCAACGAGTTTCGGTTTTGATTCTGTTGTTAGTGTTATTGTATGAATATGTTGTGAAGAATGAAGAAGAGGATTATGATTATGATAATGACGAAGACGATGATGATGGTGATTATAGATTTAAAATAAAAACCTTGTGATTGATTAATTGAGGTTTTATATATATATATATATAGTTTAATAAATGTCATTTATTAAATGCTGCATTTTCGAGTTTTGAATATGACGTGTTTTAGGATTTTTTTTTTTTTTTTGCTTAAATTGATTTTTTTTTTCCCTTCATGTTGTTTAACTTGTTTTGAGGATGTTTTTATATTGAATGATGTTTTTCTATTTATGCTTGATGATGTTATAGTTTAATATATTATGGATGGATTGCACGGTTTATGTTAATAGGTGATCATAGTCTTTAATTTGTTAATTTGTAGTATTTGATGGAATATCTTTTATGTAAAAGCAATTAGACAACTTTTTTTTTATGAATGGTTATGCATAATTTGTTATTTATATACAATTTAAATCTTATATATGCTTTGATGTGTATATTTGTTTTTCTAATGGGTATATAACAAAAGAAAAACAAAGGGTCTAGGTTGTGTTTGTCATCCTATGATTCAGTCTTATGGTTCCTTTAGCAGCTATCCTAGTTAAAACATATGTTTCCAGTGTTATTGTTACGATTAATGTGGTTAAACTTAATTTCTTCAAAGGCTTCATAGTACCTCTTCATCTTTCTCATGGTTCTGCTTATCGTGATTTTGAGTAGTGTCTTGCATCAACTTAATGATGCTTAAATAATCTGATTCAAACTCCACATTGCAGTATCCTTTCGCAATCGCACTTTCCATGGCCACATAAAGTGTTATGGCTTCAGCTTTAAGAGGTTGTTTTGACCCTTTCATCCTTTTAGTAGTTGTGTTGGTTTTGTTGCCATCCTTGTTAGTGAAAATGGTGTTTAACCCCCAAATATCATCGATCGCCAAGCTTGCATCTGATCTATACAAGATCTAGTTGGGTTGGCCATTGTTGAGTCTTTCAGCTTACATGCAGTTCATCTTCTCAGGGTTATCAGGTATGCATCTTTTAATGTCATCCTCGCTAGTCTTCGTCGTTGTCTTTTCCATTTTCCGAGTCTCATTATTGTTTTGAAGTTTTGGTTATTTTGTTTGTGGTGCATCGCCTTGCGGTACTTGTCTTGGCTAAGATCCATATTGTTGCCATGTGTCGTGTTCTTCTTTTGCTCTTTCGAGAGATTAGGGTTTTTGTTGAGTCTCCTCCATTTTGTTGTGGTTGTTATTAGATAAGATTTTCTAACTTTTCTCGTTGTTGTTGTTGTTGTTTATTGTGTCTTTGTTGTTGGGCTGATACAAGATAATTTTTCTATTATCCAGGTACCAACTGTGTTGCTCCAGGTTGTTAGGGATGATGATTTTGTTATTCTTCAGAGGGATTTGGTTGTGCATTTTATGAAGGTTTATGTTGTTGTTTTTCCCCCTTTGTTTTCAGCTGGGAAGTGTTGTACCCCAATTTTTGCCTCTAAGATCCCTTCATCATACCATATTGTTTCAACCACCACAAAATCACATTAGGGCTTTTGGTTCTTCTACTTATCTTTAGCTTTGCTCTATGAGGAGTTACCAAGCACCTTAACTTGTTTTCTCTTATGATCATGGATATTTTGTTTTGATTTTCTCTCTAAATTAACAAAATGCAATATTGGTTTGTCTCACTTGTTGATAATGTAGGTCAAGGCAATGGGGTTTTAACATGTTGCTTCATGGGTTCATGAGTTTATTTCCATGCCCTGGTCAAAGTCTTGAGAAATTCAAACCTCACCATTGATGATTTTTTAAGTTGGTATGAAATTGGTTGGTGGCCATAGGTCCTCATCATCATCCTCAATAATTTCTATTCACAAAGGAAGAATATTGGCACAAAAAGTTTGTTCAAATTTGGCAAAGTTCCACCAAGCATTCTCTTGATCTAGAGGCTAGGGTTTTGGACTTCAAAGTGACATATCTTGCTCATCTTTTGGTATTTTTGAGTGATTACAAAAACATTCTTCTCTTTAAAGAGTTACCAACAAATCACTTCAAAAGTTCCAAGGAGTGTTCATGTGGAAGGAACTTGGTGAAGAAGAAAGATTACAAGTCACCCAGATGAATTCCCATTTTTCCATATGTGATTTCAAATGGTCATAACTTGATCAATTTTTATCACCTTGAGCCAATTATTTTTCCATGATGACCCTAAGGATGTGTACTTCATGTTTTCTTTTATGTGCAAAGTAATAAAATGGATGGAAGTTTCCTTAAAGATGCAAAAGATTATAGGTAATTTCATGATTTTTGGCCAACTTCAACAAGTCATAACTTGCTCAATTTTTGGAGATTTTGATTAGTTCAAATTTCAAAATGTCATTCAAGAGGTCTAATTCATTCCATCTTTTTTGATCAAGAGCAAATTCTAAGTGCAAGATCAAGTCTAGAAGCAAGAGATTATAGGTCATTTTTAAAGAAGAATTTGAAATATTTCTAAGTATGGAAAGTCAACTCTTTTTCCTCAACTTTGACTCCATGTAACTTTCACCTCAAACATCCATTTGATTCCATTCTTTTTCCATTACATAGCTTGTAACATCATCTTTCCAAAGCATCAAGAATCTTTCCCTAAGACCCCTTGAGGTGGAAATGCCATTGGATTGAACTTGGTAACTTGGAACTGAAGTTTCACCATGAGTCAGAATTTGAAATCCATGTTTTGGCCTTTAAACATCAAATTAGCACGCGTTTATGATCTAAACATGTTTAACCAAGTTGCCAAAGTGGATTAGAGCCTTAAAACACAAGGATTTGATGAGTTTTGATGCAAATCATATCACACTTTGCTCGTGTATCAGGTTCACACGATTTCCCTCCAATTTGCATCATTCCACACGCTTGAGCATTCCATTTGATTCCCTATAAATAGAGGGTCATCCCCCATTCAATTTCCCAAGCTTAGATAGCCAAAATCACCCTGCCAAACTTGCTTCCCAACGCAGAATTCAGCTACTTCGAATCCCATTCTCAAGCCTTTTTTAATCCATTTTCTCCATCAATTCACCTTCCTTGATCTTCCCTGAACATATCCATACATTTACATTCAAGAATCGTGCCCTACATTGCTCCATAGAAGTCCAGTTTCAGAGCTCTGCAACTCAACTTCAATAGGTAGATTCCTTCATCAATTCTTCAAAACTTTGGTATCATTGTGTTGCTCTCATTGCCCTGGTTCTAGTCGCAATAGTTACTTTCTTCTGGAAACACCTTTGGACTATGTATTTTCAAATCCCCTTTCAAAACTTTCTTTCTAAATTGCTTGAGTTACAGTTTATATAAAAATGGCGCGAGGGTATGGTTGTCTTCATCTTGAAGAGACGAAACGAATGACATAGATCTGAGCTTCTAATTTTACAGTTTGAGAGACCAGCAATTCGTGAGGCCGGAGGTTGAAGATGACCAACGTGTCACCTTCTAACCAATGAAAGCATGCCATTTGTTTTTTTTTTTAATTTCTGTTTTTACATTTGATTCAGTGCTTTATTCAGTAAAGACCATGATATGCACAGCGCGCCAGATCCTTTGGATTTGATTACTAACACGTTTTGACTCTCATCCAATGGTCCACATCTTTTTATTTTATTTTCTTTTTCTGATTTTTATATTTTAATTGTTTTAAATTTCAAAAAATCATAGAAAAATCATTTTTGGTCCAAAAAATCTGGAAAAATTATGAAAAACATTTTTGATTATTCTCTTTCTGATTTTTATTTTTTCACAATTTATTTTTGTGTTTTGATATTTTTTATGAAATTTACACTTATTTGATTTGTTTAAAATGTTTAAAAATACTTTTGCACATTTTTTAATTCTGAAAAAATTATGGAATGATTCAATGACATTGTGACAAATATTAGTGACCTCATTTTATTTTTGTTTTTGACTTTGTTATTTTTTACTATTTTTGTTTATTTTACCCATTTATTTTAATTTTTAAAAATAGTTTGACTTTTAAAAATTACCAAAATTTTTATAAAAATATTTGGATCCATTTATGATTTTTCTATGACCTTATTTTTTATTTCTTGATTAATTTGAACATAATTGATATTTTCCTCATTATTTTCTATTTTTAAACTTTTTTTAACCCTTTAAATGTATATTTTAAATATATTATTATTTTGTGATTATTTTCTGGTTGTCTTGAGTTGATTTTTTTATCATGACTTTATTAACATCATTGGATCTTGGGTGTTGAGTTCAACTCCACCAAAATGGATGAATGGTTTTAATAATAGTTTGATTAAATTTTTAATTCAAAAGTGGTTTATTCATCTTTTTACCCTAATCCCTCTTCATCTCATCCCCATCTTCTTGCACTAAATGTTGTTGGAGCATGATCTCTATATCATGTATCAAAACAAATGGTGTATAGATTTCTATTGACCGGCCTCAAAATAGGTGCGACTTCTATATAAGTCCACTTACGATTGCTTAACATAGCGCTAAATTTTGTCCCGATTCGAATAAATGATCACTCGTGGCCCAAACTTATGACTGCAAGCCCAAGTATGTTAATTTGATCTCTTTGATCCAATAACCTTGAGATTCATTGTGTGGAGGCTTTAGTTCTACCAGTCCTCTAATGGATCAATAACACCTTTGGTCAACGCGGATCACTTAAACATCGTTGATCATTAAATGATACTTATGAGAATTCTAAATGGGTGATATACTTGACAAAAAGCAAATGCAACTTGTTGTGTGGAGGCTTTGGTTCTACCAATCCTCTAATGAGTTCCAAATGCAAGTTTCAAGATGGTCATCCAACTAACCACTAATTATTAACTTGCTTTT